TATACTATATTGTCAAGGCATCCAATGATTCCAATGATGGAACGAGGTGCGACTTTCGAGGATTAATCCCAACTTTCCACAGATGGAACGCCTCGATGCCCCTGAGCTGCAGCACACAGTTCCTGGTCGCCGATTGCCACCAACCTGCAATGACTGGTTGCGAGACCGGCCTCAGAGATAAGTTTGGTTACAAAGAAATACCCATGTGTTTTTCATTGTTTTTCTGGGCAAATATGACTTCATAGGTTGTTTTCTTGCCTGTCTATGACTAGTAGGGGGCCATCATTGTGCTGGTTGCTAGATGGATATTGAGGACCACAGCACTGGATATTTGTGCATGAAGATGTTCACTGATGTCTGTTCCAGAGTGAGTTGGGACTGGATGTGTAGACTAAGGAGTCAAGAAACTCCTGCGATTCCGCAGTTGAGGCAGGGGACAAGGTACAGTACATGGTACGTTGAAACTTTGAAACCAGGCCTGGTTTCAAGAAAAATTGGAGGGGTACAACCAACAGGATACATCAGGATATGATTTTTTCCGATGATTTTCCCATGATTTTCCCACCTTTTTGGGGATCTGCGGGGCCGTATGCAAGCTCCAGAAGCTTAAGCCGCTGAGTCAATCGTGAGGATCCAGAGACGGCACCTTCGATGCTGATTCAGGCTGGTTGTCACGGAGTGAACACGCTAAAAAAACGATGAGGGGAGGGCGGAGCTATTGTTATCAACATTCTGCAACTGTGCACACATCATATATGTGTATTTATATATAATATATGTATTTATATATAATATAATATATAATATATATAATATAATTATATAATATGAATAAATCTATATGTATATTTCACCACCAGCTAGAAAGGGATTTTGGATCAGCTTCACTTTGCCATCGTATCATGCCCGACTGTCAATGTACTGACCGCAGCCAATTCGACCCTTTGGCGATGGCACAGAGTGGACCCAGAATCCAAAAAAGTCCTCAGCCGCTGCAAAGGGTTTCAGACTATCATGGTAATATTGATTAATAGTGATTAGTAGTGATTAATAGTGTATTAATGGTGATTAATAGTGATTAACCTAGCCTATGCTGAAAAAGCAAAGCTTTTTGATCCGAGACACAGATCAGAAATTTTCTGCACGGCAGCATGGATACTTCCCCCATGTCGCCCTTCCGACGCGCTATTTCAGAAGGCAGCAGCCAGCAGCGGCATCGGTGTATTGTCCAGCTTCGTAGCTTAAGTTCAGGACGTTCGGGACGTGTTATGATGATCCGATGGACCATCTGAAAATTCTAAAAGCACGCCATGATGAGTACAGGGAAGTGACCCACAAACAGATTAGTCCACTTCGAATAAACAAACGCATATCACACACTTGAAAGTATACACGGTATACACGTATAGCAGAGATATCAATATCTACGAAGCATATACGAACCATATAGCAACCATATAGGAACCATATAGGAACCATATGGGAACCATATAGGAACCATATAGGAACCATATAGGAACCATATAGGAACCATATAGGAACCATATAGGAACCATATAGGAACCATATAGCAACCATATAGCAACCATATGGGAACCATATAGGAACCATATAGGAACCATATAGGAACCATATAGGAACCATATAGGAACCATATAGGAACCATATAGGAACCATATAGGAACCATATAGGAACCATATAGGAACCATATAGGAACCATATAGGAACCATATAGGAACCATATAACCATATAGGAACCATATGGGAACCATATAACCATATAGGAACCATATAGGAACCATATAGGAACCATATAGGAACCATATAGGAACCATATAGGAACCATATAGGAACCATATAGGAACCATATAGGAACCATATAGGAACCATATGGGAACCATATAGGAACCATATAGGAACCATATAGGAACCATATGGGAACCATATAGGAACCATATGGGAACCATATGGAACCATATAGGAACCATATAGGAACCATATGGGAACCATATAGGAACCATATAACCATATAGGAACCATATAGGAACCATATAGGAACCATATAGGAACCATATGGGAACCATATAGGAACCATATAGGAACCATATAGGAACCATATAGGAACCATATAGGAACCATATAGGAACCATATAGGAACCATATAGGAACCATATAGGAACCATATAGGAACCATATAGGAACCATATAGGAACCATATAGGAACCATATAGGAACCATATAGGAACCATATAGGAACCATATAGGAACCATATAGGAACCATATAGGAACCATATAGGAACCATATAGGAACCATATAGGAACCATATAGGAACCATATAGGAACCATATAGGAACCATATAGGAACCATATAGGAACCATATGGGAACCATATAGGAACCATATAGGAACCATATAGGAACCATATAGGAACCATATAGGAACCATATAGGAACCATATAGGAACCATATAGGAACCATATAGGAACCATATAGGAACCATATAGGAACCATATAGGAACCATATGGGAACCATATGGGAACCATATAGGAACCATATGGGAACCATATAGGAACCATATGGGAACCATATGGGAACCATATAGGAACCATATAGGAACCATATAGGAACCATATGGGAACCATATAGGAACCATATAGGAACCATATAGGAACCATATGGGAACCATATAGGAACCATATGGGAACCATATAGGAACCATATAGGAACCATATAACCATATAGGAACCATATAGGAACCATATAGGAACCATATAGGAACCATATAGGAACCATATGGGAACCATATAGGAACCATATAGGAACCATATAGGAACCATATGGGAACCATATAGGAACCATATGGGAACCATATAGGAACCATATAGGAACCATATAGGAACCATATAGGAACCATATAGGAACCATATAGGAACCATATGGGAACCATATAGGAACCATATAGGAACCATATAGGAACCATATGGGAACCATATAGGAACCATATGGGAACCATATAGGAACCGTATGGGAACCATATAGGAACCATATAGGAACCATATAGGAACCATATGGGAACCATATAGGAAGCATATAGGAACCATATAGGAATCATGTAGGAACCATATAGGAACCATATGGGAACCATGTAGGAACCATATAGGAACCATATGGGAACCATATAGGAACCATATGGGAACCATATAGGAACCATATGGGAACCATATAGGAACCATATAGGAACCATATAGGAACCATATGGGAACCATATATCTAAAAAAATGTCAACTGTCCTTATTTACCCGACCCTATGTCCCGACACCATGTTATATCATGTGGTCAGTTTATGCAAAATTTGATGCATTTTCCCTGGGATTTATATCTCAAGCTCCTCCAAAATTTAACCATGAGTAAGTGAAGTTGCAAAAAAAAGTAGGGGAAAAGTTGAGGGAAATGGGGTGACTGTTCCCCACCGAACCGCATTCCCACTTTCCAAGATTCCCTAAACTCCTCACCTTACCCAGATCTTGGAAGTGCCCCGTTTCGGTGGTGATTTGGGCACTTAGTCTAACCGACCCCATCTGACCCTTAGAAATTGGGGAAATCTGGGAGAATCACCAAATTTGATGGAAATAGTGGACCCGCCAATGCAACACTTGGATGCATAGAGCCAAAACTTGGGGAAATGTGGAGAGTTGATTGATAGCTCGCATTACAATGAGCATTCCAAATTATGCATCATGTTGGGAAGCCAACATTATCAAGGTAAACCAGTTAAAACCATCAAAATGCCAAAATGGAAAACATAGGGGTCAGCTCGATAGGGTCAGTTGAAAAAGTCTTAGAATATAGGAACCATATAGGAACCATATAGGAACCATATAGGAATCATGTAGGAACCATATAGGAACCATGTAGGAACCATATAGGAACCATATGGGAACCATATAGGAATCATGTAGGAACCATATAGGAACCATGTAGGAACCATATAGGAACCATATGGGAACCATATAGGAACCATGTAGGAACCATATAGGAACCATATGGGAACCATATAGGAACCATATAGGAACCATATAGGAACCATATAGGAACCATATAGGAACCATATAGGAACCATATGGGAACCATATAGGAACCATATGGGAACCATATAGGAACCATATAGGAACCATATAGGAACCATATGGGAACCATATAGGAACCATATGGGAACCATATAGGAACCATATAGGAACCATATAGGAACCATATAGGAACCATATAGGAACCATATAGGAACCATATAGGAACCATATAGGAACCATATAGGAACCATATAGGAACCATATAGGAATCATATGGGAACCATATGGGAACCATATAGGAATCATGTAGGAACCATATAGGAACCATATGGGAACCATATAGGAATCATGTAGGAACCATATAGGAATCATATGGGAACCATATAGGAATCATGTAGGAACCATATAGGAATCATATGGGAACCATATGGGAACCATATAGGAACCATATGGGAAGCATATAGGAAGCATATAGGAAGCATATGGGAACCATGTAGGAACCATATGGGAACCATATAGGAACCATATAGGAACCATATAGGAACCATATGGGAACCATATAGGAACCATATGGGAACCATATAGGAACCATATGGGAACCATATAGGAACCATATAGGAACCATATACGAACCATATAGGAATCATATGGGAACCATATGGGAACCATATAGGAATCATGTAGGAACCATATAGGAACCATATGGGAACCATATAGGAATCATGTAGGAACCATATAGGAATCATATGGGAACCATATAGGAATCATGTAGGAACCATATAGGAATCATATGGGAACCATATGGGAACCATATAGGAACCATATGGGAAGCATATAGGAAGCATATAGGAAGCATATGGGAACCATGTAGGAACCATGTAGGAACCATGTAGGAACCATCGAATGTGATGCTAAGCCCCCCATGGCACATGGCACTGAGGTCTTCCTGCGCCGAGCCTGAGGCCTCCACCTGGAGACAGCACGCGGTCTTGGAGCTGCAGAAGCACCGGAGAGGTGTGGTCCGTGGTCCGTGGTCGAAAAGGTGGTCGGTTGTCCGCGGAAAAAAGGCGGGTTTCACATCGTTTTCCCATATTTTCCCCATTGAAACCAATGGTGCCCATGATTTTCCAATGATTTTGCCATCGTTTAACATGCTGAAAAGTTCTGTTTACACTGATAAAATTTCTGCTGAAATTCCTGGTCAAATCTGCTGAAATTCCCCTTAAATCAACTGGTAAATAAACTGGACAAAAAGTGACGAAAATAGGGTGAACAACGGGTGAGAAAATATGGATAAATAGTAAAATTGGATGTAAAATTGGCAGAACAAATTGAGTCAAAACGGGATTGTTGAGCTAACATTAAAGAATTCTTTCAAGTGGTGGTTAGTTTGGTGATTTTCAAAGTGCCCAGGGATTTTGGGATTTTGGGAAGCCAATTTTTGACCGCCCAAGGACCGGTGTCGCATCCTCAGTGACCCCAAAAACCTCACGAGCGATACGACACTGGTGCTTGTTTGCATATAATATATTAACTATTTGGTGGTTTGGAACAGGAATTTTATTTTTCCATATATTGGGAATGTCATCATCCCAGCTGACTTTCATATTTTTCAGAGGGGTTGAAACCACCAACCAGTTAATATATGCATAATATATATATATATATACACGTGCGCGTAACTTACCTATACATACACATTCAAATAGATGCAAAAATATACATGGGTTGAGGGGCTAACATAAATCCAGGGTCAAGTTTCCACCGCCGCAGGTGGACACACTGAATCCGTTCTGAGTGTGGAATCTGCTCCGAATCGCTCGCTGGTCTTGGATGTTGCAGCCTGGCCAAAATGGGATACCGCCTAGTTCAGGTGCAACAACACACGCACATGTGCACTGTATATGTTATTTACATACTTACATACATACATACATACAGACATACAGACATACAGACATACAGACATAGAGACATAGAGACATAGAGACATAGAGACATAGAGACATAGAGACATAGAGACATAGAGACATAGAGACATAGAGACATAGAGACATAGAGACATAGAGACATAGAGACATACAGACATACAGACATACATACATACATACATACATACATACATACATAGACTATATATATATGTATAATCAACAAATAGATAGAGATGTAAATGTCTCGATGTATACACATTTAAACAACATATGCACATGGCTTTCAAACAGTCTGATCTTCTTGTCCTTGACGGGTTCTTAGACCTAGACAACGGGACGGAGTCAGAGGCTGCCAGGCAACAGAAATGGCTGGGAGAATGGGATCATGGGATGTATCAGCTGTATGGCTGGGATGAAACTTTGGAGCAACACAAGAAGTGTGGCAGTTGATACAGGCAGCGGCTACCCGCGGATCGTCTGCTCGAGATGCACTGTGGCCATCAATGCCCACGGTGGAGATGCACGGGGAGGCCTGGAAAGAGCAAAGACATCAGATGGGAGATATCCATCATGGACATGATTTGGGAAATACCCTCTGGTAAACTAACATAACTATGGAAAATCACCATTTTTAGTGGGCAAATCCACTATAAAGGGCCATTTTCAAGGTATCAGTTTCAGTTACATCAACGTTTCTTACATGTCAATTACAGTACTTCAATGAACAGATCAGCTATCCGCTATCCCGCTTTTTTCAGTTTTCCTTGGATCCGGACAAAAAACATGAAGGATGAACTTGCGAAAGAAGGAGAACCAGGTTTGCGAAACGAGTGTCATCTCCATGTCATCATAGACCTCTTCAGTTTCCCCAGAAACTGATCAGTGACAAGGAGATTGTGGGAAATCGTTTCATCATTTTTTGGCCATATCACTTTATTATGAGGGTCCATCTAGTTTAGCAGTTCTTCATGCCATCAGAACGGCTCAATTTTATATATTTGTACCTCAAAAACTTGGACCTAAACAGAAGAATTGACAGAACCCGTGGTGACTTTTCTGCTCTTTCCTTAAGCCACACACTTCTTGTTATTACAGGGTGATGACAGTGCTGGACGTTTTGTGCTAGCAAGGAGATGTCCTTCACAGAGCAGCAAGCTGGAGAGAGGATGAGTCACTGCAACCGTGTATGGTTTCTCGGCTGAAGGAAGCGAAACAACATGCACTGAGTTTGCTGGAAGGATTTGCAATCACCTGCTCCCTTGTCGAGTGCCTTACTTTTCTTTTCTGATTCCTTGTTTGCTTGTGGTGAACATGTACCTGCAGGTGGCATCTTCAGGGCTGGCTTCTGGCCATTGCGGTTGGTATTTGTTCATCCCTATCCGGAGCTGGTTTGGATGTGGGAGTGCAAGGTGCGGGAACAGGCTGTGACATCTGTGACGTATCTCCGTTCGACCCAATCCCCGGCCAGGCCTTTCATCACTACGTTTTGGCGTTT